TTTATTGCATTTATACCATTGTTGGAGCTGTGGTCACGTACCAAGATAGCCCCTTCCACTGGCAGAGAAACTGTCTGCCACTGAGGAGTGCCTTGCTCCTGTATCACTATCCAGAGAAAACAAGTTCTGCTTTTTAAACTATCATACTTCAAAGCAAGCCAGAGATTCATGCAGACTCAACCTTGGTAAGGTTTTAATTAAAAAACATTTCAGTTTTTTTTTTTTATAAAAACAGATGTAGCATCAGTTAAAACATTTTATTTTAAACTTTTATTAAATTCTAGATATAAAAATGTTTAACGTTACCTGCTGTGGAATAGTATATAGTGTTGTCATCAAAACTAATTTGTAAAACCATAAAAATTTCAAAAGTAGCCATTTCTTTAGCTTCAAAAATAGTATACTGGGGAAAAGATCCTATTTAATTAGGAGCCAGTCCACTTGGAGTTCTGTTATGAAAATCAGAAGTTTTCTCAGTGATAGGATTTCACTGTTCCCCCGCGTCTTCAACCCAAACTCAGCAGTGGGTACTGCTGCCTGGCACGCAAGTTGCTTGTTGCACGGGGATCTCTGTCGCTTTGGTTGTTGTGTGAGCCCAGTGCTGCCTGCAGGCCTTGTGCTGTGGCTGGTGGCCAAAGGACGCGCTGGTCCTTCCCATCGCCTTTGTGAAATACCAGCACTGGGCTGAACTCTTAAGTAGCATTCCTACCCTCTGCTCACACAGTTTACTTGGGGATGGAGGCTCTGCCTGGCATTACTTGTCCACAAGTTTGGTTGAAGGTTTGGTTTTCAAATATGCTATTCCTTGAGATGTGTACAGTAGGCTGCGATTCTCAAAAAAATGCTTGCAGAATAACTGCTGGTCAATATTGTTATTAAATTGCATTCCTTAGAGGGAAGAGATTGTATTACATATATAGTCTGAAACAATAAAGGCATGTTTAGTCATTGCAACATGAAAATACCATATGAGAATGAAAAACCTGCTGTGTGCTGCACACGCATTCTCAAGACTGAAGAAAACATGATACTGTGCTTGAGAGAGGAGCCAGGTGGTCGTGAAAATAAACACTTTTGTGCTGGAAATGTGTGTGGAGTTCAGGATGTCTGAGTAAGCCCAGCCTTTTTTAGGGTTTCTGAGATTAACCTGATGTTTCCATCTTCTGTGTTTTTGTTTTTGTTTTTTTTCTCCTGCAGTGATTTCAGTTTATTCCTCAACAAATGAGAAAGGCATTGATTTGCCTTTATAGAAAGATTATTTGATGTTGACTGAATTGTATGACTGGATTAAACTTGCATAATGTGACTTTCAGAGAGTGACTAATTGGAATTTACTGCGAGCCATGGATGACTTTAAAATCAATTCTGTAGATTCTTCATAATAAGACTTACTAATTGTGAGATTAGCACCAGAAAATATGCATTTATTATCCAAATAACATGGAGAACAAATAGGGCTCAAGAAAATAGCTGCTTCCACCACACTGTGAAGAAATGCTTCAGGGAGCAGTAAGGAAAGCAGTGTCTCAGTAAGACTCCCAAATTGAAGCCCTGTTGTGGCTGAGATTTTTGGACAAATGTGAAGACTTGAAATAGCAGGCTATGGTCTTTGGTTTTCTTTTTTTTTTTTCCTTTAGACCATGTGTACAATGTGCAACCTCTGAACACGTCTTGTTTAATGGTTGTTGTGTTTCTGGGCTTGAGTTATGTATTTTTTTTTTAAGTGCTTGTTTCGATCACTAAAACGATGAAGGCTGAGAGGCTGCTCTGCTGAGATTGGCCTGCCTATTATTTCCAGTCATTCTGTTTTCAGTTCACCTCAACCCTGTGAAGTCACATATTCACTTAAAAAGTTCTCCAATTTCCTTTCTCCTGCAGTGTGCCCAATGTATGCATCAACATTTGCACTGCCACAAACTGATAAAAAATAACATAGCATTGGGACTTGACTTTGAGAAGTGGAAAGGGGAAGACTTTGCTCTTCATGTTTCTGCCTCTGGACAGTGGGAAGTGTTGTGGGAGGCCAGTGGGGGGACATGTAGGAGCCACGATGGAGCAGGTCTTGAATCAAGAGCCGATCAAGGGTGTAGGTGGAGCAGTATGGGCTGACCAGAGCAGAAGAGAGTGTCAGGAGAGAAATCACATCCTGCATGACTTGAGCTGAGCCATGCCTGTGCTCTCGGTGGCGGTGGCTCACCTGTAGGGGCTGCTCCCTGCACTCTTATTACCTCATGTACAGGATCTGGACCTGCCCACGGACCCACAGGATGAACAGTTAGGTGTGTACAACAGAAATTTGGTATTCCAGTTCAGTTTTCAAAGCAGAGGATGAGGGCTGTGCTAAGAGTGCTGTCTTGCAATAGCAAACCTCCAAAGTTAGTGAATGGCAGAAGAATGATGTTGTATGATGATATCATCTGAAAGCAGTTTTTCTGGAGATGAATTTTAGCTGCAACGCTGGTTTCTGTTAGGGATATATATGTAAGAAATAGATAATGTTGCTTTTCTTAGTTTTTTTTAGTGGCTAACTTTATGGTTTTCTCTTTATTTCAATCTAGTTTTTTGGTATGCACAGATACAGTGCAAGCAGTGCATGTAAGGGGCTGTTTGCTGTATGTGTGTGCAGCATTCCTCTAACTGTAAACAGCAGAAAATGCTTTGCACTGATCACTAGGAAACAGATTTATGTAAAACCAATCAGCGGTCTTAGTTAGATTACTGTAACACAAAGCAGTGTTAGAATTAAAATTCATAATCTTATAACTACTTTTCAGATTATTATGTGTTTTCATAATTAGAGCCATGAGATACGACCTTTCCCTGTTGGGTAGTTGTGCTTACTCTTTTATTGGCAATCTTAAGATTTAATTTTCCAGGATCCAGAGATCAGTTTCTACTAACGTGACTCTAAAGTGCAATTGAAAATAAATCAGTTCTAAAGCTTTAGACAGAAGAAAACTGATAATTAAGGAATAAGTATGTCAAACAAACAAACAAAAAACCTCTACAAATATGCCTCTACCAATGACTGAAAGGAAAATTCAGAATGCTTTATCTTGCTTCTTCAGTGAAATGATGCAGGTATTAGTACAGGTCAATTCTGATAGTAAATGTACTCTGGAACAAAACAAATTCAATTTTTAAGGGGTTTATTTCCTGGTACGAACTGTTTCTTTCCCTTTTCAAAATAAAAGCAGAGGAATTTTGGGTTTGGAGCAATTGGTTCCTCTGGGCCAGGTTTAGACCCACCTTGTTCCACATGGACTTTCACCCAATGTGGTCTTTGGGAATGAAATCTTGGAGCTGGGAGAAGGGACTGAAAGAGCTCGAAGGCCTGCTTCCTCCTCGTGTGGCCCTGCTGTTTCACATTTGTGTGAAGATGAGGTGGTCAGTTTGTGGCATCCCTGAGCTCTCTCTTCATTTTTCTTCATCTCCCACTGCTATGTGACACATATCAGAAGGATGTGGAGAGGAATGTGAGAGAAGCACATCTATCCACCTGCAGCGGACATGAGTGTTTTAGAGCAAGCCATGCAGACTGAGGTAGCCACTGGATGATCATCTCTTGGTAGGGAGATCATGCAGTCCCCTGCATGTATTGAGGCACTCCTAAGGTCCTGTGTATGAGCAGTTTTGTTCTATGTTTGGCCAGGGTCTGGATTATTAGCAGTTTGCTTGCAATACAAATTAGTGATTGGTGAAGCAGATAAGGACCAGGCTCTGAACAACCTGATCGAGCTGCAGATGTCCCCGTTCACTGCAGGGATGTTGGACTACATGAGTTGGAAGGAATCCTGAAAGATCAAGCAATTCTATGGTATGTCGAACTTCAGTCTCTGCAGCTTGCCTCTCTGCAGGTAATTAAAGCCCAGGGGCAGGGTAGTGCTGGCCATGTAGGGGAATGCCAAAGGCTCATGGCCAGCAGTACCTGCAGAACTGAGCTGTGCAGTGACACCACGATCCAGCTGCAACACACCATTTCCATCCAGAAGTCTGCGACAAACTGCGCTTGTCTTTGGTTGTTACTGAGTCATGAGAGATAAAAATACCTCTGCTGCAGGAGGGAGAGCGGCTGCAGTGCTGCAGCCTGCGCCAAGCAGTCAGGGCTGCCTTCCCCAGGCAGTTTGTCACAGCAAAAGGTCCTTGTGGTGCCAACCATGTGTAAGGGACATGGTGGTCACCCCGTGGCATGGACCAGCAGTGCGGTTCTGCTGCCCGGATGAGAACTGTTCAGGAATGCACAGTCGTGTGTGCCAGTGGTGGGACTCCGTTGGTGTGCTGGGAGCGCTACAGAAGGGCAGCTGGGCTCCTAGGGCTGTGCTGGGGGGGGGCACGGGCTAAGCTTCAGGAGGCAGCTGAGCTGCCCGCTGGAAGCAGAGGTCGTTACCTGACGTGAGTTTGTCGAGCATCCGTTTACGTCAAGCACACTGACTGAAGTGACTTTAGAAGAACAAGGCCGGGTCTGCAGCTCCCGTGCCCGCAGCGCCCACGCAGCTGTGCCGGCTCACCCCCATCCCGCCGCCCGGCTCCCGCCGGTACCGCCGCGCCCCGCCGCCCCCATTGGCTGCGGGGCGGGGGCGCGGGGCGGTGCCGGCCGCACGACTCTGCCCTACGCGGGGCGGCGGGAGCGCTCCGCAGCCGCGGCCACCGGCTAAGGAAGAGCTGCGGGTCGGTGCCGCCATGCCGGCGCGCAGCCCCCCGCAGCGCCGCGTCCCGCCGAGCTAGCCGTGCCTGCAGCGGGCCGCCGCTGCCATGCCCCTCCCGGCGCCGTCAGAGCGAGCCTGACAGGCGGCGGCGCGGCCGGCTCTCCTCCCGTCAGTTCCAAAATGCCGTCCAAAGAGTCGTGGCCGGGGCACAGAGCTAATAGATCGGCGGTGCGCAACTCCAAGCGAGAGGGCCGCCAGCCCGATCTGCTGATAGCAGCCCTGGGGATGAAGCTGGGCGCGCAGAAGTCGTCGGTGACGATCTGGCAACCTCTGAAACTCTTTGCTTATTCGCAGCTGACATCGCTTGTCAGAAGAGCAACGCTGAAAGAAAACGAGCACGTTCCCAAATACGAGAAGATTCATAACTTCAAGGTAAGGAATTCCACTGCTTATTTCTTTTAAGGGTACTGTGGGGGGTTGGTTTCACTTGGAATTGCTGCGGTGTTGCAGCGCAGTCATACATCTGCAGGCTCTGACTCGGAAACTTACCTGCTCCGTTACAGCTCACTGCCAGTCACAGCAGCTGGGCATCTTCAGAGCACTGAGGGTTCCATTGCTGGTTGCTTGTGTGTGTGTGTGTGTGTTTGATGCCATTTGTCACATCCAGGTTATCTGTTCCATTTACACTTGTTTGGTACCGGGAGATGCCAGCAGTGATGAAACCTGCCAACTTTTCTTTCCATTCAAGTCGCTCTAGTTCAGTTTTACTTACCATGATGTGATGCTGAAAAGTCATTTAGATCTGATTAGAGGATTAAAGAGATCTCAGTTTGTCGCTGATAAATAGCTTTGGAGGTAAGAAGCATGTTCTGCTGCATCTGGACAGAGCAGATGGTCTGTGTTTCCCTTCGTGTTAATGAACTGAGTGTGACGAGAGGAGCGTGGCTTACATGGGGCTGCTGGAGCTGCTGACATGAGCAACTACTCTGTGTAACCAAATCTGCCTGGCCTTTTATGTTGCTTCTCGCTATTGTGCTGATTTTAAAAAGTAAGCAACAAATGCCTTGTGTTCTTTATTAAGACGTGTCAATGCAGCACATGCATGTTTTGTGTCTGCCTGTAATAAGTGTCCTGTAAAGATTCAGTACCTTAACCTTGGGCAGTCAAATAATGTGCAGTCCTTGTTTGTAAGGCTGAGTGAATTGATGTCATCCCAAATTCCTGCAGCAGTCAGTATGAACTTACAGGCAGGACATGAAGGCCATATTGTTGTTTTGATGAATTTTTACCCTATATAACTTTTGCTTTTATCAACTTTAGGAGAAGGGAAAACCATTAATGGCACATAGGTGTCTGATGATTTAATTAATTATGAATTTTTTAATTATCTCAGATTCTTTATTTTCATTCCCATCACACGTGTGCATGTGTGAATGTGCACATATGTGCATGTGTGCATACTTACCTCCAGGCTGTTGGATTTTATCTACTTCCTTCTACTTTTCAGTTCAGATGATGACAAAAATTGGAAGCCTTGGACGATCAGGATGTTTTGTTGGACTTCTTCACTGAAGCACAAACTTGAAAACAAAATGCTATATAAAAACAGCATTTAATATGAGCTCTTGGCATGGACCAACCCTGCTGCCTGTCTGTCAGCTAAATGCAGAGCTTTTTTTTTTTTTTTTTTTTTTTTTCCATCAAGACCCTGAGTTGTCGTAGAGATCTGAAGCATCTTGCAACTTTCATTTGTTCCTTAGAATCTAAAGGTGGTTCCTGCAGATGCCAGCAGGCAGTGGTTTCCCATGTACCACGGCCTATGTAGGGTAGTATGTATTTAGTTTTGCAGACATCTCTGTTCCTTAGCTGCTCTTCTTTAACAGTCTGAATCACAGCTGTTTTGAAAAGAACCTGATAATTTGATTTTCATTCATTTGAGTTTAGTTGTTGTGGGTTTTTTTGTTTGGTTGGTTTTTTTTTACCCTGAAGCTGTTTCTGAATGGTTGTGTAGCTGTGAGTTTTCCAGGTCTTGTTCTGAAACAGGCTTATGTCTGATCCAAGGTCATAGGTACAGCACAAGCTTCCTGTGCAGGTTGCTTTCTTCGTAATAGTCATGTTGTAGTTCCTTTACATGTACAGCAGGTTGAAGTATTTACCTTTAACAGCAGCTGGTTTCTGAGCTCAGTGAGATACAGTCAGCTTGCACAGGTAACTTTGCTATAGAAGAGCAGAACAAAGTGCTCTCACCTGGAGGGGTGTGCTGCTAAGTGTGGCTCCTCTCCTTTCTGTAAGGAATAACTGCAAACCCTTCAGGATGATTACGTGCTAGATTTCAAATGAATGGCTTGTGTACTTCTTTGCTTTATTGTTCTTCACATCTGTCCAAATTTTCTAAAGACATCACCATTTATAATGCCTCAGGAAGAACCCTAGGTTGTCTGTCGAGCAGAAAATGTGCCACCCATTGTAGGAAGGAAGGAAATGTCAGCCCAAAAATCCTTTCTGGGCTTCTCCTTGGTGGTAGATATTTGAAACAAGAAACAAAATGAAGGCGTAGATTTCGGCTGACCAGAAGCAACTGAGCCCTGCAGCAAGGAGGACACTGCTCTGCACTCTCGCAGCCCACGTTCTCTTGGTAGTGCAGGCACGAGGCAGTACAAGACCTGACCCTTTGCCCAGCTGCTGCTTGGACCAGTCATGTTGATCAGTCATAGAAATGACAAACTCTTAGAGATCCTCTTACGCTGGAGGTACTATGGCATCTCAGTGGAGGGAGGAGGAATGGAGATTGGTTATTGCACAGCAGTTAGTACTGGTTTCATAGAGCAGAGGAGATGGCAGCCGGCACCCAGGAGCAGGTCTAGGGTTAGGGTGCTGTGCTCCCTTGGCCACCTGTGGGTATTCCTTTAGTCACCTCTGGCTGTGATGACACTTGCAGGAGTTTTGTAGCTGCTGACAGCCCCAGGCTCAGACGCTTCATGTTCTGCAGAAGCCAGAAGGCATCTGTACCCATCAGAGCTGGGCCGAGCACTGCGTTTCCATGCATCACATTCCCTAGCATGTTGTCTTAGTTCTTTTTTGCTCTTCATTAATATATGTATGTCTCCAGAAGGCTGTTTTTCACTATCTTTCTGTGCAGTATTGATACTGCCACACTGTTACTTAGTCACTATCTCACTAATGCCTGAGACAGCACAGTCAAATTAATTACAATAAATAACACTTGTAAGGCTGCCTGGTATAGATCGGTGAACATTCAGAACACAACTCCCTTTCAAACCAATGCTTCTTCCAGAGAGCAGAGGTTTTTCCATTGTTGCTTAAGCCACGCTGTTAGGTTAGTCTTGCTAGTTACAGTTCATCTCTCCATGCTGAAGCAGCCTCCTGCGGTGACCCCTTTGGAAGGGAGGCAGAGCAGCCCATACATGTGTGAGAAGTGGGCTTGGTGACACCGGTGTCTGCTGGAGGGACCTTGCCGATATGGAGGGACTCACACATCGCTTTAATAGACAGACTGCTGGTACTAACAAGAGTCATTTGTTTGAAACAAATACAGCAACCTGGCCCAGTTTTCACTCGTGTAGTTGCATCTTTGCTAGGTGTTTGCTGGTGTAAAAAGCCATAACAAATCGTTTCCATGCCAAATCACATTGTTCTAATGAGCTGCTCCTGAGAGCCATGCCTAAACGCTGGGGGCCAGCAAGTGGAAAGTGCAGAAGAAATGCAGAAAGTGGAAGTGCAAGAAGACCTGAAACTGTAACAAACCTTTACTGCAGTGAGCAGAGCCATTTTTGTGTGACTTCTGACATGAACTCATTTCTATTTCTGATCTTCCGAAAAGTGGAGCAGGTGCCTATTTGGGGTGCGTTGGTCGGTCTCCACTGAAAGGAGAGCACTGCTTTTGATGAAGTCTAGCCCTGGCAATGAGAAGATTTTCAAAACATCTTTAAATGAGTCACTGCACTCAAATGAATATTCAGAAGGAGAGCTGGGCGCCGCTAGCACAGTCCCCAGGGAGAGCCTCTGCGCGTTGTCAGAGATAAGAAAGCCTCGGGAAAAGGGAGGTTTCTTCTGGGCTCCTGGTACTCGGGGAAAACATTTTCAAAGGCAGTGGCAGTATCTGGAGAGCAAAACTGGAGAAAATCCTCCACGAAACTTTGGAGAAGATCATGTCAGTTCTGTGTAGCTGCTTCTGAAACTCGTGCTGCGTTATACAGCAATTCAAGCCAGAAAAGCTTTTAGGCATGGATGGATTTAGTTTTTTCCTCTTATTTTTATTTAATGTTTCTTTTTAACTTTTTTTTTTTTTTAAGGCTTGGCTTTTCTAAAGCAGATTCCCAGTAGTGCATTATTACTTAACCCTCTCTGCTTTCTAAATGCTAATCCCTGCATTCAAGATCTGGCTCTGTTTTGGGTTTTGTTTCATTTTTTTTCTTTTTCTAAATCTGTATTTCCGCTGTAATTCCATCCCACCTTGCTGGTAGCTTTCTAAGTCGTTAGCTGTGGCTCTTGCGGGTCTCCCGCATGTAGGGCCATAGGAACAAAGCAGCCCATGAATGGCAAGGCTCAGAAACACTCTGCAGGGACTGGGCAGTGCCTCCAGGGGCAGGGAGCACTGCTTCTGCTCCCATCAGTGCTTTTGCCTCTAAATTAAATGTAGCATCTGTGCAAAATCACTTCTTTAGGGATCTGTTGAGGTTTTGTATTACATTTATGTCATTATGTGGAGCATATATGGCATGTATATATACATACTATTTTAAGTATGAAGATTTTATTCAATTTTCACCTGTGGTTTCTGAATGTTGTATCTAGACACAGGTGTTGAGTTACTTAGGCCTGGAATGAAATGGATAGTGTTCTAATCTCTAAGATATCGATTTGAAAAAAAAAACAAATCTGCTCTTCCATTCTGAAAGGAAGGTAATCAGATTCATTGCGTTTACAAGGCAAAAAGCGCACACCCGCTACTCTCTCTGCTGTTTGTTGCCTTGTCTCTCTTAGAGCAGAACCTAACGCCATTTTCCAGTTGTTCTCATTTCTGCTGACATGATCTGCACAGACCAGGAAGTCAACACAACATGACAGCGCTTCAGGCTCCGGGTGAGCAAGGACTGGGAGGAACGGCTGCCTGCTCAGCGTTCATGTCTGTGCCCGCTGCCCATTGCCATGCTATTTATACTTGATGCCCTGAATCACGGCCCCCTTCTCTGGAGCTGCTGGAAGAAGTTGTTGGCCCGATCCCAGGCATATAGCACCACAGCTGGGTTAAGCAGTCTTTGGTGGTTTGTTGCAATACTCTCATTACACTCATTTCTGCAATACCTTCATGTGATAGTGAATTATCTTAGAGCTGCGCTGTGCCGTGCTGTTGTCATGGCAGACTTCTTGTTTCTGAGATTACTCAGCAGCAGCGTTTGCCTCGCGGTAGGAAAGTCGTGTTCTGTAATATTTGGCATGCTTGAGACCCTTGTTTTAGAGGGCCTGCCTATTGTTAATATATGCATACACTGAGTTAAAGCATTGGCCAAACCAAAGTTGAAGCAGTTTGTTTTCTCACTGATCTCTCTTCTATGCCCTTAACGTCCAGGCATCCTCTGTCTGTACTTGGGTGCATACAGAGGGCGTGCCTACTGGGTGCCAGCGTGGGTACACCCAGCGTCTGATGAAATCAGCTGTGACTGAGGAGACAGACATTAATAATACAGGCTGAGTTATCATTTTAATTGAGACTTACAGTGTCTCCTGTATCAATTAAAAGCTTGGTGGAGTCCCAACAGGCAGAATTCAGCTGATGGAAATGCAAATCAGCGAGGACCACTGAGCTGACGGGTTTCATCAGCAACGTCCCATGATCTTTAGGCACTTGGCTGAAAGACACTGCTATAGCCAGCAGAGCGGCACCCTGGGAGAACCATGCAGTGCAGGTACCTGATGTGTGCCATCACTCAGCCCCCAGCCAGCTCGGTCTCTTCCCCAAGCACCAGCAGGGCTGTCCAACGCAGAGAGCTCTGGAAAAATGCGAAGCTGCAATACTTTTTCCATCCTTTCTCTAGTCAGTGTATTTCATTCCAATGCAGATGTTGCCTGAATTTTCGAAATCCCATTCTTCTTGCCAGCATCTCAGCATGGAGGGCTATGGGAGATGCTACGCTGCTCAGTGTGGAGCATGGGTCCTGATGGAGCTGCTGTCCAGGGAGACCATGGCAGCCTGTAACAGAGACAGCTTTGTTTTGTGCTGTCAGAGAGCTGTTTTCCGAGCTCAGAGTTTATTTTATGTATACGTAATTTGTCAGATCCAGCCTTGCTTTCTGCCTTGCTGAAGCTGCGCACATCCATCATGTTCTTGCACGTCACATTTCCAAAGCACTTTGCTGATATTCTCTCACTATCTTGACAAGTTATATAATGCAAGTCCCCCAGTTTTGAATGCTAATTATCTGCTGGCTCATTCCTGGTTTTCAGATAACAGCCAAAGAACTGCCCAGTAAAAGCAAAAAGCATAAGAAGTAAGGGGGTTTGTGCGATACATGGGTAACTGCAGCAGTGACTTTTGTAGAGCCCGAGAATTATCAGAGATCTGCTTGAGGAGCTCCTAGCTTGTGGTATAGGCTGTTGTCAGTCATCAGATCATTTTTTTATTTGCTTAAGTTTGCCTCTTTTTATAAGCAATATTTTAATTAAATTAATTTCATTTTAATTAAATTAAAAAAAAAAACCCAAATGGTGTTCTGTAACATACATAGTAGCTAATCACCAGAGGTAAGATATTTTTCCCAGGGTGTGACAAAATGTCTTTCAGACCCAAAAAAGCACTCTCTTCCTATATAAGATCATAGTCCTTATTATTATACCTTGCTGCTGCTGTGGTAGAGTTCAAACTAGAAATGCCAATGTGAGATTCCCCTGTTATCCTTAGACTTGCAGAGCAGCCTAATAATTGGATTTTATCTCAGTTTAGAAGTAAGTATTTTCCTTTAAAATGATCTAGAATTAGATTTTTCTTTTAAACTCACACTTGAAATCTTGTGGAAAGAGGAAGAGAAGAGGATTTTTGGGACAGGAATGAGAATGAAAGATTTGGGAGATACAAAGCCCAGTTTGGCAGTTTTGTACTCTCACATTTTATAAGATGCCTGCATATGGCACATGCTCTTTTTATAAAGGGAAAGACACACCTTGTAATTTAATCAGGATCTCTGGAATTCTGCCTGGTGTGTTGTCAGAAAACTTTTTGGAAAGGCATGATTTCGTTTTGAAATAAGCAAGTCACTTGACAGGTTTTTAGAATGGGGAATTGAATGTAAAAATCAGAATGCTATATTAAAGGGTCACGTGCAATAGGCTCAATATTGTTTGCAGGTGCTGGCCCTCTCGCTAGCAGTGGGATGCAAATGTTCCCCTCTAGCGTGCTGCCTGGCCCTGCTCTGCAATGTGAAGCAGTTGGAGGGCCATTCTGGCCCCAGAAGACCACTTCTTGATGTTTTCTGGCATGGTTTACTGCCTCTGATTTCATTTCCTGCGGTCTGTGCATTCAGCCTGTGCAGGGCTGGACCTCCAGTTCCACTCTGTGGCAGTGGGATGTGAACATTCTGGCACCACTGAGCTCTGTGCAAAGGCATTAATGCTTCCAGACCCCAAAAGAGGCATCAGGGCTTGTCCTGCAGGATCACATACCAGGGGTGGAAGGGCATCGTGGGCCAGAGGGCCCCTAATTAATGTTGCCTGGGAACCTCCTCTGGCATGTCTGAGAAAGGTCAAAGCAAGAGAAAGCATGACAGAAAATAGAAAAACCCACCTGTAGCTTTTAATTTGTTTTAATTTTGCATTCAGAATAATGTATAAGCAAGTAATTTGAATGGTACAGAGTAAAGCTAAGCAGACTTGCGACAAATGTTCACCTGAGAAGGTAATTTCCTAAGGAGATGTTACAGCAAGGCATTGCAGTGTTTGGATGGAGTCTGGCTGCATGGGACGAGAGCAGTGATTCCAAAACAGTGATCCTGAAGGGCAAAGACCAATCTCCATCTAAACTCACAAAGGGAAGGATGGTACGCTGTGCTGATAGGAAAGAGGGAAGCAGGGGAGCCTGCCTTGCCCTTTTGTTTTGAGTTGCTTCTGGGTCACAGCAGCCACCATCACAGGGACAGGCAGCCTGAGCCCAGTCCTTGCTGGTGACTGCAAGGCAGATGTTGTTTCTTGCAGAAGTTGTGTTAGTCCCTCAGGCATTAAAGCACAGCGTTTTGCTTGAGGAGATCAGATTCTGAGAAGGGAAGGCTGCCAAAGACCTGTAGAAAAGCAGGGGGTTGAGGAAGAAAGCCAAGAGGATGTGGGTAGTGCAGGTGTCTCACAGAGAAGAAGGTGTGAAAAATCTCTTTGTGTGGAGAGGGAACAAGAAAATAGAGATTGCAGCTGCTGACAGTCTTGTCATCATTTGCTTCATGGGAGTCAGCTGGAACTTTGAGAAGGGAACTGTTGCACTTTCAGAGTTGGTGGTGGTGGCACTGGCTTGCTGGAGCTGGGGGCACCCAGCACTGCTTCCAGAGATGCTCATGGCAAGCAGGGCTGGGAGCCATTGTGTACTTTGGAGAATTGGAGAGCAGATCTCCAGAGCAGTGTGCCAGCCTGCCCACTGCTACTGCTTGGCAGGCAGTAAGTGCAGGAGGTCTGCAGCCAAAGCAGGACCTGGCCTGGAATGCTGGGCTCTTGTTGGAGGTGAGTGTTATCTGAGGTCCAGCTGCTGGGTGCACCTCGTGGAGGGGGTGCTCTCTGCCAAGTGGCTCTGGAGAATCGACTGAGTAAAGCCTTGAGAATATTTATTGTATTTCACTGTGAATTTCATTACTTTATGATTACCAGTTTCTTGAACACTGGCTAAGGAAGCTTTGGATATCTCTGCAAAGAGTCTCGTGGTCTCCTAAAGCAGGCACTTTATCAGAATAAAACCCAAACCAGTTTGTGGTGTCTGCAGGATTTGCAGCTTATGCATGAACCAGGATTGAAAGCAGCATTGGCTTTTTTAGCTTTGAATTTCGTCCTGGGTCAGCGAGTTCTTGTTTTCACTTAGTAGACTCATTTAGATTTTCAATATGTGGCATTAGTCTGGAGAGAATTAATTTCCTACAGAGCTGCTCTGAACTAGAAAGCCCTCGAGGTGCATCTGGAGTGTCTGTGCTGCACTGGTGCTTTGCCAGGCAGGATGCTTTCCACCCAGGGCTGCTTCAGCACTCATCACCCTGTGCATCCCTTGTGGAGGTGCATCCCTTGTGGAGGTGCATCCCTTGT